CGCGGAGCGCCGTTACCAGGGCGCGCGGCTCAGGGCTGGGCGAGCGCGCGGGGCTGACCACGTCATTTCCCCGCAGCCAAGCTCCGCCCCGCAGCTCTCCGCCCCGCAGCCCTCCACCCTTCAGCTCTCCAGCCCGCAGCCAAGCTCCGCCCCGCAGCCCTCCACCCCGCAACCCTCCAACCTGCAGCTCCAGTGCCCGCAGCCAAGCTCCGTCCATCAGCCCTCCAGCATCCCCGCAACCGCTCTGCTGCCCGCAAACCTGCCGCTCTGCACCCCTCAACCCTCCAGCCGTCAGCGTGCAGACCCGCACTCTGCATCCCTTCAGCCCACAGCTCCACAGCTCTTCAGCCCCGCAATGTGCAGCCCGGCACCACGGAGGCCTCCAGATCACAGTTGCAGGCGGCCTTACAGCCCTGCAGCCCGGTAGTCCCGCAGCAGCAGCATCACCTCTCCCTCTCACTATGCAAGCCCACAGCTGTCACCTCCTTAACGGACACCTCACCCAATCCTGTAGCTTACAATCCGTCCCAGCAGCCCACAGGCTTTGGCTACTGCCCTGTGCCTGAGTGTGCAGTCTTCTCTTTGTTTGTTTGGCTGTTTGTTTGTTTGCTTGCTTTTAAATAGTCCAGAGAAGATGAGATTTTGATGGTCAGCTTCGGTTAGCAACAAGCCTGCAACTTGATCGAGCATGTGCCTCTTGTGTGCAGGCCCAGCAAACGGCATATCCAGGACTTAATCTAAGGCCAAGGACCTCTACTCCAGAGAAGTGGGTGGGTGTGAAGTAGAGGGAGATCCGTAATCCGAGACTTGACCGGTCTTTTCAAACTCACCCAGGCTTGACCATTTCAGGGTCGCCATGACCTACTGTGTGCCACACCACATTGAATGAAGCAATGCCAAGTGCCTAAGGTGTGGGGGAGTGTACCTCTACAGTCAGCTGCACCCCACTTTTTCCTCCGTGGGATGGAGCCTGGAACAATTGCGGATGAAATATAATTGGCTGGAAATTAGAATAGGACTGGAATAGAGAGAGGAGGCCAGAACAATAGAATGAGTCAGCCCTTAAAGATTGGGGGCTCGTCAATTTGGCATTCCATGTACTTTTTTTTTTTTGCCATGCTAAATGCATTATTTTGTACTGATCTTCTCTTAGCACCTCCGCTCTTTAGGTCAAATGACTTTAAAAAAAAAAATTTGTATTCTGTGTTGAAATAGAGGTCCTTTTAGGTTAATGGGAAAACACACTTTATAGAAGTACACTTAGTTTTGCAGAACCGAGTTCCTCCTCTTTATGTGACTTCACTAACATGCAAGCAGACATCTCATAAACATTGAAAATGCTAGGAAATTAAATTGGAGGCTAAACTAACCAAGTGTCTGAATGTGACAAAAACAAAACTAAACTAAACTAAATGAAGTTGAATAGGATCCTAAAACATTTCAAATCTGTTAGAACTCCAGAAGGAAAGAAAGATTGAAACTGGTAAGACTTTTGCCAGATGTGAGGTACTCAGTACCTCAGTAGTAGACCTTCCAGAAAATGAGTTTAGTTCCAATGTTCTGAATGGGGTAGGTAATGAGAAATGCATGTGCATATTCTGCCCCCTTAAGCCCTAACAAAAGAGAATTAGGAACTGTGTAAACTGATGACATGACCCTCCATGTTATGGTTGGGGGAGGTTTTTATTGTACATATGAGAGAGAGCCAAGGACATCTAGAAGAGTCCGGACCAGGGAGAGAAAGTAGACTGAACATGGCCAGCCAACTGAACAAGGTTAAGACTGTGCAAGAGAGGGAAGAACAGCAGGTGATGGAGAATGGAGGAAACATGGTGAGAGAAGCGGGACCAGAGCATAGAAGAGAGAAAAACAAAGCAAGAATAGCAGGGTTATAAGGAGAATGAGCAGCTGAGTGGAGGGAAGCCCGTGAGCTGGAGGGAGTTTAGGTTGGGGAAGAGGTAAGAAGGACTAGAATGCTAGCATTGACTTTGACATGTGTAATGGATACTTGTGATACTGAAGGAGCCTGGAGGTCAGCATGAGTTTGATATGCTGATAGGTGCCACTGGTAGTCATTTGTCCCTTCTGTTAGAGGGGATCCAGCTCCACAAGTTCCTGAGGAATGGTAACTTTTATCTAACTGCCCCCCAAACCTCCTTTAGTTCAAATTGAGCTCATTTCTGGATATATGGACTGCCTTTTGGAGTTTGAGAAATTGAGTTTCCTTTGGTCCTGACAGAAACTTGTATTATTTCATTAAATTTGGGGCAGAGAAGGCTTGGTACTTCTCTTGTCCTTCATATTTCCAATAAAAATATGCTCATTTGTAGTGGGTAGCCATTCCAGCTTGGTTCTGGAAGTTCCAACCCCCATTGAGACTCTGGCAACTGTCACGCCTACGAGGCGGGACGAGGGGAGGCGCCTGGGGACCCGAGAGCTGGATGGGCCAGCGCTCGCTCTGGGCGCTCTTGTAGCCATATCTTGCTGAGGCAAGAAAAGTGTTTAGGGGTTCTGTCCCTGTAATCGAGTGGAAAGACCATAGGACTAGAAATACAGAGTAATATGTAGCATCCACTTATTCCCTGCACCTGTTCTCCTTTCCCATAATTCCTCTGAAAGGAGACAGTGACCTGCATCTTTCAGCTCTGACCTGGAAGTAAGAGGATGTGGCACATGAGTGTTTGCCGTCATTACCTTAAGCCAAGAGAACTGCCCCCAAACTGTACGCTCAGAAGGTATCCAGTGTTCTATGGGTTTAGTGTCTTCCCTATGAACAATTAATAAACTAGGTCATTTTATGTAGAATTATATGTATTATAAATAATACACAGAAATGTAAAGTATGCTATAACTCACTCATGATCCTGTAACATAGAGGCTCACTTTTAAAGAAGGCATACAAAAGGAGAGGAAAGGAAGGATGGTAGTTAGACAAGAAGTCTTTGAACGGTACCAGCTTCTGTCGTGAGATTTATTTAAAAGCAGTCACCAAGTGTTATTGAGTTCCAGGTATTGAGGCTGCCCATCGGTGTCTGTCCTGAAGTAACAGTCTAGTGGAGAAGACAGACATCATTAAGCCATTTTAAAGGGACTTCAGGGAGTACACTTAGACTACAGGGGTACACTTAGGCCTTGGAGTGTCTGAGGAGGCTTCACAGCACATAAAAAGGTGTATCCTCTTGAACGATACTTGTTTCAGATAAAGAGGGAAGAGAGAATAGGCTCTGGGATTAGCAAGGCCAAAGCCCTGAGGATGAGAGAGGATGGCCTATTTAGGAAACATCAGGTCCTGTGAGATGGCTAGAGCTAAGTTTGAATGGGGTGTCAGAATACGAGTGTGGTAGAGCAGGTGTCAAGATGACTCATGGATGGGAAGACTTATGTGCCCTGACAATGAGATTTGGGGAGATTATTTTGAAGACAAGGATGAGCACCTGAAAAGCCTTAGGCAAGAAAAATGAAATAACTGGATTTGCATTTCAGGTTCATAATTGTTGTGAGGAAAATGGACCACTATGTAGATGAGGAGTCCATGGTACCTATTAGGTGAGACATGAGGAATTGACACCTTAAATATGTTCATCATACAAAAAAAGAAGGGATGGAAATTATGCATCTAGAGGAAAAGAATCAAACAGGACTCCACCTCAGAAAAGGAATAGGAGGGACAAGCTGGGACAGATATGTTCAACGTGAAATGTGGTAACATTGGAGAGGCCTGTAGGACATTTATAGGGAGATGTTCAGTTCAGTTACATATAAAAGAGGAGCTATAGTACAGCACCCAGAATAGAAAAATAAAAGATATTGCTTTCAAGAGGACACCAGAAGCCAAGAGTGTGTGAAAGAAAGCATCAATGTAGGTGGTATTATAGTTTGGATAAGTATCTCCCTAATGTCCACATGTTAAAGACTTGGTCCTGGAGTGGCACTATGGGAAAGTGGTGAAGACTTTAAGATGCTCTTAGGTCAGACCACAGCCTCTGCCTTTGCTTGTTGTCACTGACATAAGCCGTTTGCTCTGCCACACACTTCCTGCCATCACTGTCTGCCAGGCACACCAGAGCCATCCCCCAGACAATGGGTCTGTGGGTCTTAGAGCAGAGCTTCCAAAACTGTCCATGAGAATGGATTATTCCCTCTTTATGCACTTACTGTCTCAAGCATTTTGTGTAGCTGTGGAAGGCAAACAATGGTGGGTTATCATCTGGTACATTCTAGAATTTCTCTCTGAGGAGGAGTAGGCACCAATGGGTGAAAGCATGAGGCCTGTGAGAACAGTCCCGGAGAAGTGGGTTCATACTAATGCAGAAGCTTGGCCCAGCAGGGGTAGAGATTGAAAGCAGATAGAGGAATAAGCATTAAATAAAAATAATTATTAGCTATTAGAGCTAGAAGGGAATTTTGAGCCTTATAAGCAGGGTTTTTCATCAGGACTGCCAGCTCCCCAATAATTGCCATGGAGACTTGTTATTAACTATAAATGCTTGGCCAATAGCTTAGGCTTGTTACTAACTAGCTCTTTCAACTTAAATTAACCCATATTTCTTATCTATGCTCTACCACACATGGTGGTACCTTTTTTCAGCATGGCTTGTTCATCTCCTGCATCCTCTGCGCCTGGCTGGTGACTCTGCCCTTCTTCATCCTGCTCTCTTTTTGTCCACAAGTCCTGCCTAACCTCCACCTGCCTAGCTATTGGCCATTTAGCCCTTCATTAAACCAACAAGAGTGACAAATATTCCCTGTGTACAAAAAGATTGT